TCTGTCTTTCATATTTGGTGGTTAATTACTGTACATACTTCAAATCATCATTCTGGGCTGTTGTGGTGAAGTGTGAGAAGCGATCAGCCATTCCTTTCAGTCTGTGCAGAGAGATCACATCGACCCCCAACTCCTCAAACTCGCGCTCCTCCAGCTCTGCACAGTCAAATATAAGCACTATTAACAAACTAACAGCCTCATTGTGTTTTGATAAGTAATCTTAAAGTTTTCTTATGAGTAAGTACTTTTAGTTTCAGTCAAGCAAAGTGCTCTAAAGAGTTCTGCAGTTCTCTTAACTATCTTAACTGATGGCTGTGAAATCTTACCAAATTCTGTTGATGGAGTGATGAAGCAGAGCAAGAGCACCACCCACAGGATGAGTGGATGTCCCTGAGCTGCGGCCATCATCTGTTCTTCAGCTTTCACTTCAAATTACTTCAAAGATAGACAGATAGACACAGCCTTCATGTGAGTGGAGTAGAAGTTCAGCCTCACCACTCGTCCTCTTTGAAAAACACCAGCCACTGTGTCAGCACAGCTCTGCAATTCTGTCTAAAAGATGTGCTCTGTGTTCAGTTTTCAACATAAAATGCAGTCATTCAATCATATAAGCATTTAATCACATACTGGTTGTGTTTTTGGGCACTTAAATACTTTTTACTCACTGTTAGGTGTGACTTTGACATGCTAATTATGAAGTGAGACCATTGGTGCTAGTTGTTCACAAAACATTCTCATTATTTAATGCGACAAGATTAAACCAACAAGCCATGATGCATTCGGTCATTTTTAGAGAAATGCTGGAACTTTGATCTGTTCTGTTTGGTTTTAAGAGCTTATGTAGTGTAACAGCTCTGCTGAAATGAGAGCTCTCAGTGAGAGAGAGAAGAGCGTTTGAAGCCTGTTGATTGGTCCTGTGTGCTCTTTATGCAGGCAGAGAAAATAAATGCCACCTCACATAAAAGCTGATATGTTGGTGTCATCACTTCAATCATCATTCAACTCTACACAGCGTAGATGTTAAATAATTCTTTACTAGTTTGTCTATTATTTTATATGTTGCAGTTAAAACGGTCCTGAATTCTGGAGGTGAGGTATCCCCCTCAGCCCCCCTCATCTGGACCTTAGTACTCAATTCCTCAATACTCAAACACAATTCCTGTGTTCTTTCTTTTTTCCCCCTCAACCAGGTGCCTTATTAAACATCTCAACTCTGAAATCTGTTTATTCTCCATGGCGACTTCAGTACGGACTGAATTCAGGACAGTAGCTATTCCAGAATAACAGTTCCTACCTTCACCATCTCATCATTAACTCCAGATAAGAAAACAGCATCACACAAACATCCTAACTAGACTAAACCTCCTAAATCCTGTCCTAACTTTTTCACACACACATTTGAAAGGGTCCAGCTTGTGCCACTGGCCACCAGCAGAGGGCAACAATGGCAAAGTGCTATTATCTTGAGGAAAACTAGTTCTGAGAAGCCCATTTAAGGCTGTGGCAAATAGCAAAATAGCAGTCAGTGTCACACCTTTGTAGAAGGGTGACAAGCATGGTACTGAAGTGTCTGTCTCAAAAACCAAAAGACGGAAAAGAAGGAAAAAAGTTAAAAAGGGAAACAGCCCCAAAGAAAAGAGAAAGGAAAAGAGAAGAGGCTTACAGGAGAAACAGCTCCTAAGGAAAAGCAGAGTTAAGCTTGTTTCTTGCTGCCTCAGCGTCGCTTTGTCTGCCCTTTCCTGCTGTTTTTCCACCCCAAATCTTAGGTGGTAACGCAACGGATGATGATACGAACGGGTCAGTCCCTGCTCAGAGTGCTCTCGCCACAAAAGTTCCCATCCACACCAAATACCATTTATTTAAATTGCATAATAATAATAATAATAATAATAATAGCGGCAATTATAATTGTATACCTTTCATTCATTGTCATTTAAAGCTTTGTTCACAGGTTTCACTCTCTGGGTCTGCCCCCTCTCCTGCCGTCCTGTCACAACCTTAATTTAGTAGGTAAGTGTTCTAAAAGTTTTCTCCTAAAATGTAGAAAGTAACTGTATTCTGAATACTAACTCTACAAAATGTAACTTGGACTGACAGATACTTAATTTCTGTATTCTGAATGTGTATTTACAACACTTGTATTCCAATACATCCCAAACCTCTGTGTGCGTGTGTGGTAGAAAACCTAACTGACCATAGAAACCCTTATTGGGCACTGCAGAGTTTAGTAAGTTTATTAATTCTGTTCTACATTAAAACCCAGCTGAGTTCAGCTCTTTAAAGCAGCATTGAGCAGAATTTCTAATAACATCCTTAAAAAGTTCTGACTACCTGAAACATCTCCAGATACACAGAAGAACAGCTTACCTGTGTTGAGGTTTCAGCCTTTGTGGTCCTGCTGGAGCACGAGAGCATTTTATACAGTGCAGGTGGAGCACTTTCAGACTGAGCAGCTGCTTCAGCCACTCCCCAGCTGGAATTTCAAAGTTTATTCACGGTTGAAAAAACGGATTATGGAACGATTTTGAAAGATGAATCAACGTTGATATTGCGACGTTGTTTCAACGTCTTACCTTTCAACATCGAGTCTCCCAGATAGCAAAACTCAGTTGGGCCGCATCTGGGCCGAATACTTCATACCAAGCTTAAACCTCGTTGGCCGAGACTTTGGATTGTATCTCTGCCCAATTCTGGCCTAAATGCTCGGCTTACATCCAGATACGTTGTGCTATTAACACTCCCAGCTAGCAAAACATACTCAATTTAGTTCCATACAGTTTCTGCAATTCAGCACTTTTACTGATGATAGTTTGATGAAATACATTTAAAGTCAATCTGAAATCAAAATGGAACTTTACCCTTTCTTAGTTCATTTTACTTTATTAACCACCATGGTCTTATTAATTCATCACATAACACAATTCTTATTTCACCATAATCTTCTATAAAAGTGTAGTTACTTGTGCAAAAAATAAATGAATATATAGTGCATTATGATTTCCAATTCACAACTTAAAAACAAGTACTTTGGTACTTTAACTCAAATACTTGTACTTTAAGAATTTCTACTTTTACTCAGGTTCAGTAGTTTTGTACTTTGCTCTCTCCTGGTGAGAAGAGCTTCCATAGCTTGAAATATGGTGGTTAATAGGGAGCGTAGAAGTAAAAGAGGAAAAAGACACTGAAACAGGACTTATAATAAAGTGTCACAAAACTGTTCTTCCCCCATCGTTATTACAGCCAATCCTGAGAAAGGGAAAGGTATACTTGTGCTGACGTGTGGTTAAGATATAAAATAGCCAAACACAGACAGACAGACTTGTTTTGGGTGATTGCAGACAGAAAATGAGTGGAATCAAACCAGCGGCCAGCAGAAAAAGAAAGGAAAATAAAGGTTGCCTCCATGCCTGAAAAATGCTGTTGGTATATGAAGGACGTGCAGGTGACCAACCAGAACAAGGAGATTTCAGAAACATTACTCTGCCTGACCTCTGGTCAGTGACGCAGTGATTTCTTGTACTAGCATTAAACGGTTTTATTGGCTCCCCTCGCGTTGGTTAAACGGTATTGGGCGTCTTGAATGTGCCCGCCTCCCTACGCGTCTAAACCTTATTGGGCGTCTTCTGCCGCGCCAACATTTTCAAATCACAAGACACCGCCCCTGCGCTTTGGCGGGCTCCTGAACCGCTTTATGTTCTTTTTTGCACGCCCTCTGTAGTGTTACTCAGATTTTTGCCTTTCATTACTCGCCTGCTGTGTCACCTTCACTCAGGTAGATACACAGACGTTCATGTAAGTTTGTTCGCCTTATGTGCTCGAATAGAATAGGAGCTTCTAAACTTTATTCCATATCCAATCGTGGATCATGCGGTGACCCTTTTATTTCGCTCAAATGTACACAACCTGTACCAATCGATACCAATCAATTTTTTTCTTTGCATTGAATAAGAAATATAAAAGAAAGTGCACTTTCTGTTGCTAAGGTGGGTGGCTCTTAAAAGAGCCTTTGTTTTTTTTCCAGTTTAGCGGAAAAACCCAGTTTACTTGGTCTTGACCGCCTTCTCGGTCTTCTTGGGCAGCAGTACAGCCTGAATGTTGGGCAGCACGCCACCCTGAGCGATGGTCACTCCTCCGAGCAGTTTGTTGAGCTCCTCGTCGTTACGAACGGCCAGCTGCAGATGACGAGGAATGATACGGGTCTTCTTGTTGTCGCGAGCGGCGTTGCCGGCCAACTCAAGGATCTCAGCGGTCAGATACTCCAACACGGCAGCCAAGTAGACGGGAGCGCCGGCGCCGACGCGCTCGGCGTAGTTCCCTTTGCGCAGCAGCCTGTGAACACGGCCCACAGGGAACTGCAGCCCGGCGCGGGAGGAGCGAGTCTTGGCCTTCGCTCTAGCTTTACCTCCGGTTTTTCCCTCTTCCACTCATTTTCACTTCCTTTCGCTTTGCAGAACTAAGCTGAAATAGAAGACAACGGTCTCTGGTCACCCTCCATATAGGCAAAGCTGCTGTGTTTCTATTGGCTAAAATGCGATGACTTCCAACAACCAATCATATTAGCGTCGTCAAAGTTTAGGGTCCGCCCACCGCTCCTCTCCATGCTCTCTGCTTCTCTCCCTCCCCTTTGAACGCACGCGCGCGCGTGTGTGTGTGTGAGAGAGAGAAAAAGAAAAATAGATAAAATACATAAAATACTTTGGAAGATAAAGATGAATTATTGATTATATTAGGAGGTCCATCAGTGTCCACTGCAGCCAAATATCCAGGACAGTGAGTGACCTACAAACCACAACCTTTCCTTTCACTGTTATATATGCATATGAAATTACAAAAATACATTTGACAATTAATATTTTTGTCTCGTTATTTGCTGCAGACACATATTAAATAGTTTTTATTACTGTATATATTTTTATAATATTGATTAGACTTTCTCCTTGTATTATCAATATTGGTTTTGGTATTATGATAATTATTATTATTATTATTATTATTATTATTTTGTTGTTTTTATTACTATTATAACTTCTGATCATTTTTGGAGTACTTTAATAATACAAATGTAAATTTGTCACGTCAGTAAAGAAAATCTGAACTGAGAGAGAAAGAGATGAAGACAAAGAAGAAAACAAAGAAAGTCCCTGTTTTCCGCTGTTTTTCTACCCCATTTCCGCTCCAATTCTCACCCATGTGAAGGGAAACGGCAACTCGATTATAACGTCGAGCCTGGCGCTTTCCAGTAACATCACTGCTGACTGGCAATGACTAATTTTTAAGTGCAACACGAAGGAAAATCCAACTCTTTGAAAGGAAAATGTGGGTGATCCGTTTTATCAATAGAAGAAAAACATCCAGCTGGCCCGCCGGATCCGCGGAGAGCGCGGTTAGATTCAACGGAGCGCTGCCAGGTTTCCCCAAAACACCCCAACGGTTTTACGTGCTGTGACCTAATTATCTGTGAGATATTCATTCAGTCCTGCTGCTGATATCGCAGTGTTATAGTAGTTTCTAGTCTCTCCGTGAATAAAGCACAAAAATATAGCTTGACGATGATTGTGTGTAACTCAGGCAAGCGATACTGACTTTCTGCTCGGTATTTACCAAGCACGACGTGCACCAAAAACAAAACACTGCAGCAGAGCTGAATTTTTCATATGCACATATCCGGGTCTGTTTGTATACGCATTTATACTGCCCATTTCAGCAGAGAAATTAGGCGGGAAAATGGATTCGAACACGGCAAAGCGCTGAGCCTCGAAAGAAACTTTGTGCTTATGTTCACACACAAAACGGCAAAAGGCTCTTTATGCGAAAACGTGGGTGGCTCTTAAAAGAGCCGTTGGGTTTAATGAAGTCTCCGTCACTTCTTACTTGGAGCTGGTGTACTTGGTGACGGCCTTGGTGCCCTCGGACACGGCGTGCTTGGCCAGCTCACCGGGAAGAAGCAGGCGCACGGCGGTCTGGATCTCCCTGGACGTGATGGTGGAGCGTTTGTTGTAATGAGCCAAACGGGACGACTCACCGGCGATGCGCTCGAAGATGTCGTTGACGAACGAGTTCATGATGCCCATCGCCTTGGAGGAAATGCCGGTGTCGGGGTGGACCTGCTTCAGCACCTTGTACACGTAGATAGCGTAGCTCTCCTTCCTGGACTTTCTGCGCTTCTTGCCTCCCTTACCAGCCGTCTTGGTCACGGCTTTCTTGGAGCCCTTCTTCGGGGCGGACTTGGCGGGTTCAGGCATGATTTTCTTCTCTTCGAGTAAAACTGAAGAATGAGGATAAAACTGAAGAATGAGGAGGAGCGCCCGGCACCGGCTTATCTAGACTCCGATATTCAAATTATAGCTCCGCCCTTCTGAACACAGACACACGATCATTGGACAGCAACCAATGGCTCGATTTCCCGACAACTCCCAGCTTCTCGCCCAACCTCTCCTGCTCCTCCTCCTGCTAAAGATTTTTCCTTTGTTCGCCTTCCCGCGCATTCTTAGCTACTGCGTGTCCCTGTCAAGGTCAAAGTTTCAAAGTTTTCACATACGCGGTACAACTAAAAGTGCCTGGATAACTTCCCGCTCACATGAAACACTAAACTAATAAGAAACATCAAATAAAAGAACAATATTCTAGAATATGACAAAATATCTATCTATAAAATTAGATATTTATTCCAAATGTAGCAACGCACACACGCACACACACACACACACGCATATTTAAACAGTATTTTGGTGTTTTATTATTCTTACAGGCTTCTAACTCTATAACAGTGCGTCGCTTTGCGTTTAGAGTAGCTTAGGTTAACGTACTTTGAGATGTAATTATTAAATACTTTTAAAATTAAGATGAAATGTTTTACAATTGATAAAAAAAAATCTTTCTTTTTTGCTCTCTTTCGTTCTTTTTCTTGTTCTTTTTGTTTTGTACTTTAGACATTTTTTTACATTTCGCCTTAAAATGACATGAGATTTAGAAGGCTGTGAAATGATAATGCTAAAAACTGTATTAATAATAGCGATAATTATAGTAATATGAGTGATATTTACTTCATGGCAATATTTGCTTTTTGTTTTCCTTGATTCCACCACGTTGCTGTTTTCTCTGTACTGTCTGTTGTGCGTGGCTCCGCCTCCTGTTCATTGATTTCATCTAGGTCCTGTAGAGGAGTATAACAGGCCGTACGGCGCTCCGCTTGTCACTGGTTCTTTTCGTAGCGTTCAGGAGAGGAACGAAGCAGCATGTCTGGAAGAGGAAAAGGCGGCAAAGGTCTCGGGAAAGGAGGCGCTAAGCGTCACCGTAAAGTGCTCCGCGATAACATCCAGGGCATCACGAAGCCGGCTATCCGCCGTTTGGCTCGCCGTGGCGGTGTCAAGCGTATCTCGGGTCTGATCTACGAGGAGACGCGCGGCGTGCTCAAGGTGTTTCTGGAGAACGTGATCAGGGACGCCGTCACCTACACCGAGCACGCCAAGCGGAAGACCGTCACCGCCATGGATGTGGTTTACGCCCTGAAGCGTCAGGGACGAACCCTGTACGGCTTCGGAGGTTAAGCGTTTGACTCGAACAACGATAAACACAACGGCTCTTTTAAGAGCCCCCCACGTTTCCGCTTAAAGAGCTTTTTCTGTTATGTGACTTCAAACATGATGTTTTGTAGAGGTGGAGAAAACGTTACTTGGAGTTCCGCCATAAATAAAATTAAAAAAATAAATGGATCAGTAAATTAATCAATAAATAAAAGAAAAACTATATATTGCAATTGTGAATAAACACGTTTCTTTAATTTGCAGTTATATATTTCTCAATTTATTTCTGTATTGTTTTATTAATGCCTTTTTTTAAAATATTTTCCCGTATCTATATTTTTATTTATTTTTTCATTAATTCATTTATTTATTTCTGTATTTCGTCGTTCATATGATTAGGGGGCGTGTTTTTCACGTTGAGGCTTAGCAGTCAAGACCAGGAGGAGAAGAGCTGATTAAACTGCTCTTTCACTCCATAAAGAGCTGCAATGTCACGAACAGACAGACCTGCCAATGAATAACTCTCGATGGCTCCACAGGCCGTGTGTGAGACGGGCGTCCGAATGTCTGAGTTTGATCTGAATTCTACAGAAAAAGACGCTGAAACTCCTCCTCCAAAGCTCTGAACACTACGGCTTGACCTCTGAATCAGCAGAGGCAGCAAAATGGAGCAAACTGTCCCCACAGCCTCCAACGGAAGAGTCAATAATCCGGACCTGCATTTTCAGCCAGATCAGCCGAGACTCTCAGATCTCTGACTGTCTGCTGCTGTAAGAAGCCGTTACTGTACTGTCTGGTCCTCAGTTACCGCTGAGAGAGCAAGACAAATACAATCGATCTACAGAAACTGACATCGATCAACCAATAGGAGTATTAAGACGCTGTGACATCATTGACTGACAGCCCCTTTATTAGCATGAGGACAAGGAAATACAGAAATAAATAAACAGAGAAATAAAGAAAGAAATTAATAGTCATGGAAATAAATGAATAGAAAAACAAAATGTTAATAAAGAAACAAAAAAAATATATAAAAATGAGTGAGAAGGGGAAATTACTAAATGGACGAATAAATGCAGACATTGATTTATATAAGGTTTTATTTATTCATATATTATTATGTATATTTATTTTTAGATTTATTATTCTTTGGAATTCTACTTCATATTAATTTACTAAGCCATTTATTTTTAATTGTATTTATTTTTCATTTTGGCAAATCTGCTCCTCCATAATCCAGGGTTGTGTCTGTATTTATGAAACACGTTCATGATATATTTCAGATGCTATTTTTACATTGTATAGGCGGGCGCTTAAAGCAGTAATTTTTTTTGGTGTTAATAGTGTTTGGTAAAAATTGAGCAGAAAGCTGTGTAACACGAGCATGTGAAGCAGATCATACTCAAGCCGCTCCTTTTTTTTTTGCCTTACTACGACTGAGAGACTCGAATCTGTTCCACTACACTAGTCAAAATGAATACCAGTGGCAGAACTATCTCAGACAGATAGTTAAGTCGCAGTACTTTGTACAGTACTTTCGAAGTAACTTTGAGATTACCAGGATAGTTGCTCTTTTGGACAGAGAAGTGAGGGGGCTCTTAAAAGAGCCGTTGGGGTGTTTTGGGGGAAACCTGGCAGCGCTCCGTTGAATTTAAGCGCGCTCTCCTCTGATACGGCGGGCCAGCTGGATATCTTTAGGCATGATGGTGACTCTCTTGGCGTGGATGGCGCACAGGTTAGTGTCCTCGAACAGACCCACCAAGTACGCCTCGCTAGCCTCCTGCAGGGCCATGACGGCAGAGCTCTGGAAGCGGAGATCGGTCTTGAAGTCCTGAGCGATCTCCCGCACCAGGCGCTGGAAGGGCAGCTTGCGGATCAGCAGCTCTGTGGATTTCTGGTAACGACGGATCTCCCTGAGAGCCACGGTGCCGGGCCTGTAACGGTGAGGCTTCTTGACGCCACCGGTAGCCGGGGCGCTCTTACGAGCAGCCTTGGTAGCCAGCTGCTTCCTCGGAGCTTTGCCACCGGTGGACTTACGGGCGGTCTGTTTGGTTCTTGCCATGATGTCAAACTGCACTCCTCCCTACCAAAGCTATAGAATAAGTTTAGACACATACCGCGGCGCTTTTAAGCGCTCGAGCTGCTCGCCGCTCATTGGGCGTCTTGAATGTGCCCGCCTCCCATTGGACGACTCCCTACGCGTTGGCTGAACGCTATTGGGCGTCAACATTTTGAAATCACAAGACTCTGCCCCAACGCCTTGGCGGGCTCCTGAACCACATTATCTCCTACATGTCGTGTGTAACGTTCGTCAGATTTTTGGTTCTTTCATTATTACACGCCATTTATTTCACTTTCACGCGCGTAGCTGTACAGACGCCTATGTAGATTTGTTCACCTTGTGTTCAAGTAAAATGAAAGCTAAATTGAACGCAGTATGCAATCGCGGGACGTGGCGATGCTGTGATCCTTTTATTTCGTTTTAATGTACACAGTAACCTGACACAACTGATCGAAAACCGCTTTTGTACGGTTTTTACATGGGAAATGAAAAGGAAACGTGCACTTTTGTTGCTAAGGTGGGTGGCTCTTAAAAGAGCCTTTGTTTTTTTTCCAGTTTAGCGGAAAAACCCAGTTTACTTGGTCTTGGCCGCCTTCTCGGTCTTCTTGGGCAGCAGTACAGCCTGAATGTTGGGCAGCACGCCACCCTGAGCGATGGTCACTCCTCCGAGCAGTTTGTTGAGCTCCTCGTCGTTACGAACAGCCAGCTGCAGATGACGAGGAATGATACGGGTCTTCTTGTTGTCGCGAGCGGCGTTGCCGGCCAACTCAAGGATCTCAGCGGTCAGATACTCCAACACGGCAGCCAAGTAGACGGGAGCGCCGGCGCCGACGCGCTCGGCGTAGTTCCCTTTGCGCAGCAGCCTGTGAACACGGCCCACAGGGAACTGCAGCCCGGCGCGGGAGGAGCGAGTCTTGGCCTTCGCTCTAGCTTTACCTCCGGTTTTCCCTCTTCCACTCATTTTCACTTCCTTTCGCTTTGCAGAACTAAGCTGAAATAGAAGACAACGGTCTCTGGTCGCCCTCCATATAGGCAAAGCTGCTGTGTTTCTATTGGCTAAAATGCGATGACTTCCAACAACCAATCATATTAGCGTCGTCAAAGTTTAGGGTCCGCCCACCGCTCCTCTCCATGCTCTCTGCTTCTCCCCCTCCCCTTCGTGTGTGTGTGTTGTGTGTGTGTGTGTGTGTGTGTGTGTGTGTGTGTGTGACAGAGAGAGAGAGAGAGAGAGAGAGAATACATAAGATACTTTGGAAAATAAAGATTTTGATTATATTAGGAGGTCCATCAGCCAGATATGTATGAGTGACATTCACTCCAGGACAGTGAGAGACCACCAAACCACAACTTGCCCTTTTATGTAGCATAGGTGTGCTTTTATATATTGATGTGTGCTGCAGACACATATTAAATAGATTTTGTTTTATTGTTGTATATACTTTTATATCATTAATTTCATTATTTTCTCTTTATTGTTTTATTGCTATCATGGTTTTGTAATTATTATTATACAAAGAGATGAAGACAAGGAAAGAAACAAATAAAGTCCCTGTTTTCTCGCTGTTTTTCTAACCCATTTTCGCTCCTATTCTCATTCATGTAAATGCAAACGGCAACTTGACTATAATGTCGAGCCTGGCGCTTTCCAATAATGTCACTACTGACTAGCAATGACTAATTTTTAAGTGCAACACGAAGAAAAATCTAACTCACCGCTACCTTCTTGGCTTTTTGGCAGCTTCTTTTGCTTCTTGTTGAGCTTGAAAGAGCCTGATGCACCGGTGCCTTTGGTTTGCGCCAGACTGCATTCCGTCAAAAGGCTCTTGACGGCGAGCTTGACGCGGAACTAACCCTAACCCCCACGGGGCCAGAGCCTGCTCTCTGCTGATGTGCTGTTGTACAAAATGTAAATGAACTTTGACTTGACAAGTAGGAAATAACCCCAAGCTCACATGGAAAACATTATTATATTATTATATTTTACTGTATGGCTCTCCCTGTGTGTGTGTGTGTGGGTGACCCTCAGTATGAAAGCAAAGTGCAGTGGTGTGTGCCAAGTGGGCCCAATCTAGGAGAGGCACACACTCAGAGAATAACCTGTTTGTTCCATCTGAGAACTAAAATGTCTTTGAAGGAGAAAAGCACATACGCAGAGAGACTTAGTTATAACCATATTGAATAGTGGGAATACACAAAGTGAATAAAGTTTAAAGGTCTAGGCCTGATTGTGGCCTTGGCCTATGATTATCTTTGAAAATATATTTTACTTCTTGGTTTGGAAATAATGGAATAATTATGGATAAAAAATCACTAATGACATTAATAATGGTGTGAAAGGTAATAACCTATGTAAGGTTTGGATATAATGGTGTTCAAAGTAATCATGAAAGTTGGAGATAATGATGTGTAACTCAAAAGATTTGTAACATTTGGGATGGGCAAGGTGGGGTCATCACCTTACTCTGACCTCAGCAACAGTCAAGGTCTTGCCCTAAATCTACTTTCACTTTTACAACTTCACCATGAACCTCAAAAAGGCCTAACTCTACATTTATTGTTACTCTAACTACATGTTAAGCTTGAGGCATAGCTGTAAGACTAATTTAGTCTACTCTAACTACAATATGAGCTTAAAGCCTGGTTCTGTACCTGATTTTAATATTGATGAAATATTTTGCTTGCTTAAACTATATCATCAGCTAAAAGCCCAGCTCTGTACCTGCTATCATTCTACAACTTCCTTATAAGTCATTATAACAGCTCACTATACATCTCAGTACGCTCACTCTTACTCCTTCACAAGCCTGAGGCCCTCCCCTACTTTAACATCATTGTAAGCCTGAGGCCTAGCTTGAAAGCTTTAGTTCACTTTAACTTTTTCTGGAGCCTAAGGCTTTGCCCTACGTTAATCCTATCTACATGATAAGCTCCACAGCCACCTCTATTAACTCTGACCACTTTAGAAGCCAGAGGCTTAGTGATAAGTCTATATAAAACTACTTTTACTTACACTGCCAGCAGCAACAACCTAAGGTTTAGTTCTTAATCTACCTGTACTCATTGGTACTTTAGCATTAGCCTAAGGCCAACTTACTCTAACTGCATAAGTCTTAATGCCTGGTTCTACATCACAGATGTAAGGCCTAGCATCTAACCTACTTTAACTTAGTCTAATTTCATAAACATTTTGCTCACTCATTCATTACACTTCTACAGAACATGAAATATAACTTATTTTACTACAAGCCTTACCATTACCCACACAATAGAGTAACTACTAGCAAGTAATTATGCAGTAAAACAGACTGAAATGCGGACAACCCTAGCTTATATTTTCTCCCCAACTCCGCAGAAACATCCTGCTCTCCCTGACATTCGCAAACGTAAAGGGCTCTTTGTGCGAAAACGTGGGTGGCTCTTAAAAGAGCCGTTGGGTTTAATGAAGTCTCCGTCACTTCTTACTTGGAGCTGGTGTACTTGGTGACGGCCTTGGTGCCCTCGGACACGGCGTGCTTGGCCAGCTCACCGGGAAGAAGCAGGCGCACGGCGGTCTGGATCTCCCTGGACGTGATGGTGGAGCGTTTGTTGTAATGAGCCAAACGGGACGACTCACCGGCGATGCGCTCGAAGATGTCGTTGACGAACGAGTTCATGATGCCCATCGCCTTGGAGGAAATGCCGGTGTCGGGGTGGACCTGCTTCAGCACCTTGTACACGTAGATAGCGTAGCTCTCCTTCCTGGACTTTCTGCGCTTCTTGCCTCCCTTACCAGCCGTCTTGGTCACGGCTTTCTTGGAGCCCTTCTTCGGGGCGGACTTGGCGGGTTCAGGCATGATTTTCTTCTCTTCGAGTAAAACTGAAGAATGAGGAAGCGCGCCCGGCACCGGCTTATCTAGACTCCGATATTCAAATTATAGCTCCGCCCTTCTGAACACAGACACACGATCATTGGACAAATGTCAACGACTCACTTGGCGGACAACTCCCAGCCCCCCCCTTCTCCTCCTCCCCCTCCCAGCTAAAGACTCTTCCTTTGTTCACCTTCCCGCGCATTCTTAGCTATTGAGTATCACGTACAATACAAACGTCCTTATCGGGCTTATTACAAATATAACGTTTCTTTTTTCCCTCATTCCTGAGAATGTTTTGCCCATCAACTCACGAAAGCGCATGAAATAAAATGATAGTACAATTCTAAACATGTTTAAAGGATTTCGAGCTAGTTTAAACATTCGCCACCGCTCCGCTTGTTCCAGTATCAGATTAAGGTCTTGAAAAAGTAAAATTACTAAGGAAGGCATAATATAAAGTTTGGTGATGTTATTGGGTCATAAGGAAAAGCTCTTCTGGTGGGGGTGTGGGGGGCTCTTAAAAGAGCCGTTGTGTTTATCGTTGTTCGAGTCGAGCGCTTAACCTCCGAAGCCGTACAGGGTTCGTCCCTGACGCTTCAGGGCGTAAACCACATCCATGGCGGTGACGGTCTTCCTCTTGGCGTGCTCGGTGTAGGTGACGGCGTCCCTGATCACGTTCTCCAGGAACACCTTGAGCACGCCGCGGGTCTAATTTTAAAAGTATTTAATAATTACAAGTCAAAGTGGGCTAAACTAGACTGCCCTAAACGTAAAGCAACACTGTTATGGAGTAAGAAGCCTGTAAGATTAATAAAACACAAACACCGTATAATTATGCGCGTGTCTGTGTGTGTGTGTGTGTGTGTGTGTGTGTTATATACAATATATTACCGTGTATGAGAGAGTTTATGTAGGAAATAAGTGCTACAGCGCCCATGCACGTGTCACTGATGAAGCTTGGGCGCCATCCTGTGGTCAAACTGTGAATCGGCAAGTCCGAGAAAGACCATTAGACTCATTATTGTAAATGCTGAATTACTGTATGAAATGATGTGGTTTGGCCATAAAATTATACTCTAAAATTATCGTCATTTCATTCACATTTTATTTACGCAGCATCACAAACACAGTAATTCAAGAAGTCACTCAGTCACAATATTTCCACACGTGAAAATGTTTCTGATTCTACGACTTTCACTTTTTGACCACACGATGGCATCCAAGCTCCATCGATGACAAATCGCCCTGAGCCCAAAACACCTGGGGCGGACTGTCTGCACTGTTTTCGCTTCTCTGATCAGCGAATTAGTAATTTAACTACTCACTGGGTGCTGCTGTGGTTCGAGTATCTTTTGGTTATTTTATTTTTATTTCAAAAGCAGTTTTGAAAAACGGGAAATGGGTCAGTTCCCGTTGTTGGTTTTGTTATTGTCATTGGAAAAATCAAGAAATAGCTTCATTTTACAGTTTCAGAAACTAATCATAAAATCAAATAGTAAACAACGGTGGAATAAAGGGTCGTATTTTATTTATCCAAACAAACAAACAAAAAAAATTCCTATCACTTCAACCGCAAATACGCGAGCAGATTGCACGTGTGTGATAAAGGCAGTCAGGCATTAGTGTTGAGCAGACAGGCCCAATCCTGGCATTTTAGGAGACTATATGATGTTTTTACAGCTGTTTCTATATCTGATGTAGTTACTGTATCAGTAAAAACTGAAGCGATATGAGGAAGAGACTCTTAAAGACTCCCGCTTTAACAGCGAAATCATAGAGAAATGAAAGCCCCGCTGCTCAGTAATGATGATTAACGCTGTAATGTGGCGCCGTTAGAGGTGAACTTCATTATAGCGTCTGTGTTTCTGCTCCAGATGTTGTGAGGAAAAAATAATTTGCAGCTTTGCAGCTCCAGATTTGGAGACTCAATTACAGCCCAAAACACCAGGATTAGCGGGAAAAAAGTACAATTTCTTTTATTAAGATTAAGACTCGCCAGCAAACAGGAAACGTCCATCTTCTGTCTGAATGTTTCCTGCACAGTGTCTGTCCCAGCCCACTGAGGGAGGGCGGAGACTCTGTCCGTCTCTCGTTCCAGTTGGTCCAGGGTCCCAAAGCCAGCTTAGTGAACGACTTCAGCAGCTCAGAGAGTTGACTCTGTCCAAGCCCCACCCTCAGAGGCCCAGAGACACGCCTCCTCCTGAGCTCAGACTCCACCTCTTTCTGGTCCAGATCAGATTCGATGTGCAGAACAGCCCTCCTGTTATCTCTCTTACAGTAATCCAGAGCTCTCCCAGCTCATACGCTCAGCACTGACATGGATCAGGGCTGATGAGGCATAAAACACAAACAGACAGGGATGTTTTAGAGTGACTGATTTACAGAAGGTATGTTGTGTTTGTGACACTGAACACTGAGAGAATCAGAGAGCTCGTCCAGTCATGATTTACTGCAGTAACACAGTGAAAGATACAGCGCTGTACGGCTCTATTTCACATTCCTCTTTACTCTGTTGTGCACAAACGTAAAATAAATGACTTGTTTATCTGTAGATGCATGTATTCTGTACATTAAGGTTTATGAAATCATATTTCATTCCTAAAGTCACTCTTGATATCACACAGTGATTATAGGTCTTGATTTCTAAAGAGGGATTTTAAAAATTTCACTAATCTAGTACACACACACTTAAAAATGATGGTTCTTTAAGGGTTTTTAAATAGTTCTGTATAGAACCATGAACACTGAAAGAACCCTCTGTGTGATTGAAGGAGTCTTTGCATCATGAAAGTGTTCTTCAGTTTGATGGTGAATGTGCTGTCGATGGTTCTATACAGTACCTTTTTAAAAAGGTTCTGTTATAACAAACTTCACATCGTAACAATACCTTTTTAGTGCTGTATAGAACACTTTTCAAAAAAGGTTCTGTAAAGAACCATCTACTCCACACTCTCCAACAACATAAACCCTTTCACACCAAAGAACCCTTTAATGATGCAAATCATGTCTTCATAACTGAATGATCATATAAGAGTCCTGTCCAGATTTATATGATCCGAGCTTAATAATGAGTAGGTATTTATGATTGATGATATTTAAGGTTTATAATTGATGAGATTCATGAAGTAGATATTACACCAGAATTCAAACAGCATCACTTTAATACAACAGAATGAAGAAATCGACAGATCAAAATCATGGTTTGCTTCTACATGTAGTAAAATAATTAGCCATATACAAAATACATTCAACAAAATTCACATCTTATATAATTCGCAACAATTAGTTTATAATATAAGTAGTACATTAGTTCCTATCAACACTGGGAAGGGCGGAGCTCTGATTTCTCAATAGATTCTTCTCCACATCCTCCTACTTGCTGTAGTGTTTCTCATTACTGCCTTTTCACCCACATTACATCAAATTTAAGTTTTAATTAGTGTTTGAAAGATCCTGATTTACTGTGGTGGCACAGAACAGAGTGGACTCCACTGCACGTCCTCATTTCCCATTTCTCAGTTGTACACAGTCAAACGGTGATGATTGAGGATGACCAGTCGCCCAGTTTCTGTAGGCAGAGCGTCCTCCATCGGTCCATTCCCAGTCATCACTCAGCAGGCCGATCCAGAAGGACGTGCTGCTCTTCAGCCCTTCTATCTTCACTGCTTCATTCTGGTTCTGATCTCTGATGCTGACCAGGTCAGTGTAGATGTTTCTGCAGTAACTCTGAGCTTGAAACACTGTGTTTCTTGTTTGGTGTTGATGCAACTACAAAAATATACACAACTTCAGAGATGTATTTCAGCCCCCAAATATCCAGCCTACACACCGACCCTTTCAAAAGAACTGACCCTTGTGGCTCATTAATAAACCAGTGAATTCAGTACAGTAATGACTTGCATTACATAAAAATACAGTCAGCTCCATTCAGAGGTGAAAAATTTTGGCTTCTCTAGTTTGATCCAACCACCAGCAGAGCTGTCGAGGCAGTTGGAACAAAATCCTGGGAAGGATTTTTACTTTCAGGACCTGAATTTTACACCTCTGAACTCCATAATTATTGGCATCGTTTGTAAAAATGAATAAAAAAGGTCCTGAAAAATACATCTGCGGCAGACATTTTTTCATGAAAATACTTGGCAATAATTATTTGTACTTATCTGTTCATGTATTAATATGCATATTGATGAAGTCTAGTGTGATGGTCAAGTCAGTATTAAGCCTGACACAAATCGATGTACATTAGAGGGAATGCTGGGAGTTGAAGCTAATATATATGATGTTGAACCAAAGCCAGTTTATGAGGAGTCTTGACTCTTCCTGTTTCCCCTCTTGTATCAAAAACAGGACTGCTAAACAGCAGAGGGCGCCCACGAGCAAGTCCTCAATGAATGGGAGTAAATGGTTGAATTCTCAATGGACTCAATAAATGGTTGGTGGCAAACCACCGAGTTCACTCTTACACACTAAGTGTGCTTTTGCCAATAAAGAATGATTGCCATGGTTAAATAGTGCTTCCATATTTTCCATCAATCTGAAGAACCATTTTACCATGCAAAAAAACCTTTAATCATGCAAAGGATTCATTGAGTGTTTATGGTTCTATACAGAACTATTTTCTTTACTAAACAAACCTTGCAGCACCATCTTTTTAAGAGTGTAAACTCAGCACACCTCCATCAGGATTGGTGCTAAATAAGACTCGCTAAATAAGACCCTTCCCCTAATAAAATCGCAGTAACGCATGGCCTCTTGTGGCCTATCGCTTTATTAACCACTCTTATTAGGCCTCAACGCATAAATTACAGGAGTAACTTCAGCGTCGAACTGTGTAAAAGCTGAATGACTCAGAATCTTCACAGCAAACATGACGAAGTTAAAATGTATAAAGCCTAATAATAACGAACAGACATTAATGGTGTTCAGAGCCAAGAGTTTTCATTATTCTATATAGAACCAATTTCTTTGTTTTCAGCATAACAACATAAGAACCCCTTTGGGCGCTACATAGAACCATATGCAGCACATTCTCTATCAGTCTGAAGAACCCTTTCATGATGCAAAGAAACATTTAATCATGCAAAGGCTTCTTTGAGTGCTCATGGCTCTATATAGAACCATTTTCTTCACTAAAGAACCCTTGAAGAACCTTTTTAAGAGTGTACATCTGTTCTCAAAGGTGTAATAAAAATATCACTCAGTTGAATAGATGTGTACAGTCACACCTGCAGTCTTACCCGATGAAGCGCTTGTTGCTGAACAAGGTGGAAATATTCAAACGAGTATAAATCTGATCCTGTTGATCTGACGGCCTCACAAAAATTGTGGGCAGGTGTTGGAAATTGTTTTATTTTGTTTTATTTGCTAGTGTTCTGTTTACTTTGCTTTAATTGTTAATCATTGCTAAACACTATTAATGCTGAAGGGTGAAAGAAACCACCTCCATTTCTGTTCCCGTGGTTTGAACAATAACACCAAATGGCCTTACAACACCCCAAAGGAGGATGTCCTGGGGCAGAACACAGTAAGGTATTTACGACAGGATTCAAATGTCCCACTGTTCTGTATTACTCTGTTGGGGGTGGGGGGTCAGTTGCTTAGCACAAAAGCTGTGTGTTTGAGCTGCTGTTCAGATTGGGGGAGAGACTAAGGCAGGAATACTGAGCGCTCTCCTTTTAATAAAACCATCATTATTTCTGCAAACCCCGGTCTCCTGAATCTTTTCCATGGCAAGATCAAAGATTTACAACACAGGATAAAGATAAACAAACGGGTCAGACTGACCAATGAGAGGAAAGAGCATTTAGAAGACCACTGCAAACCGTATCTCCATACAAATAAATAAATAAAATTCAACACAATCAAAACAATGTAATGTAGTTTATCTGGTCTAACAAGACTGGGTAATGTAAATTCTGAACTATAGTGATTGGTTTCTATTCAGGTGAAATCCTGATGCAGGTGTGGTGATGAGTTTAAATTCTGATTTTAAACACTCTTAAAAAAGTGTTCAGTGCTTCAAGGGTTCTTTAGTAAAGAATTAGTTCTATGCAGATCCATGAACACTTAAAGAACCCTTTGTGTGATTAAAGTGTTCTTTGCATCATGAAAGCGTTCTTTATTTTGCTTAAATGTGCTTAAAAATCTTATGTCAGAGTAGGGTAAGTACACTGTAAAAAAGAATCCGTGTAATTCATGGTAAAATACCGGCAGCTGTGCTTGCCAGAATTTCACAGTTAAAAGTAAAGGGACAATGTATAAGACATTATGGTATGTTTTTTTGGCAACTGTAAATTTCACAGTTAAAAATTTGTTTGCGGTAAATTACTATAAAAAAAAATTCATATATTGTAAATATGCTCTAAAAATAACAGCTATATTATAAATCTGTTTATGGTTGTCACGGATTCCTTCTTTTCTCCCTCTGAGTGTCTGTTTCTTCCCCTCTGTTGTAGCCAGGTGTCTTTTGTTTTCTTGTACCATGTGCTTTTTTGTTGCTCTGTGTCTCCTCCCTGGTCCTGCCCCCTTGTTATCTGTTCCACCTGCTTGTAGCTCCGCCCCTCATTAGTCCCAGGTGTGTCTCGTTTCCCCTCTGTGTATTTATACCCCTGTGTTTGTTCAGTCTTCGTCTTGCATTGTGAATGTAATCTTGTCTCTTGTTTGCTTGTAGTTTGGTTTTGTTTTTGTTATGGACTCTCATTTCAATAAAAACTTGCATTTGCATCCCGCCTCCATGCCTCAAACGTTACAGAATGCAAGACCACACAGGGAAGCAGCGAGTTTGCAGGACCTAATCAAGGAGAATGAGGTCAGACTTCAGGAGAGCTACCATCTGCTCTGTCGGCTTCAGTTGTTGCTCCCTAGTAAGGAGAAAGCCTCAGCCATGGACGTCACAGCAGCCCTGCCAGCCTCCGTGGACGTCGCTGCAGGGCCACCTGCCTCCGTGGACGTCGCAGCGGCCCAGCCTGCCTCCGAGGACGTTGCTGCAGGGCCGCCTGCCGCCGGGGGCGTCGCAGCAGGGCCGCCTGCCGCCGGGGGCGTCGCAGCAGGGCCGCCTGCCGCCGGGGGCGTCGCAGCAGGGCCGCCTGCCGCCGGGGGCGTCGCAGCAGGGCCGTCTGCCGCCGGGGGCGTCGCTGCGGCCCAGGCTGCCTCCATGGACGCCGCCGCAGGCCCTCCTGCCGCCGAGGACGTCGCTGTGGCCCAGGCTGCTGCCGAGGACGTCACTTCAGAGTTCCCTGACCTGCTGGTTACCTCCATGTCTCCAGACCTGCCCGTGGTCTCAGGGTCACCAGTCCCAGTTCCTGCTCCTGCACCCTGGGATACTCCTTTTCTCACTTCCTGTCCCGCTTCGGCACCGGCCTCTCAGCATCACGCTCCGCCACCAACCTCCCAGAGACCCCCTCCTATGCCAACCTTTCTGCGTCCAGTGACAACCTCCCAGCGTCCTGCTCCAGTGCCGACCTTCCAGTGTCCTGCTCTTCGAACGTTTCCCCGGCTCCTTGTTCAAGTAACATTCTCCTCGCCTTTCAAGTTCCCTGCCCAGTCAACCTCCCAGTTCCTTCACCTACATGAACTTCTTCATTCTGTGTGTGCCCCCATGTCTGTCCAGTCTCCGATCCATAGTTTTGTTTCTGTCCCTGTCACCTTGTATATATCTGTTCTAGTCTCTATCCGGGTTTCTGTTCCTGTGTCTGGTCTTTTTGTACCCATTCCTGTCCATGTCTGTCCCAGTAACCATGTCTGTTCCACTGTCCAGACTTCCCTCTTGTATCCTGTATCTCCGCTCCAGTCTCCTGTTCTCTCTCCACTTTTGTCTTCAGTCCCGTCTCCTGCCCGGTCCCTCCTCCTAACCGGCTCCCACTTTGGATGGCCTTTGTTTTTCGCACCTCGGGAGCTGCGCGTTAGGAGGGGGGTTCTGTCACGGATTCCTTCTTTTCTCCCTCTGAGTGTCTGTTTCTTCCCCTCTGTTGTAGCCATGTGTCTTTTTGTTTTCTTGTACCATGTGCTTTTGTTGTTGCTCTGTGTCTCCTCCCTGGTCCTGCCCCCTTGTTATCTGTTCCACCTGCTTGTAGCTCCGCCCCTCATTAGTCCCAGGTGTGTCTCGTTTCCCCTCTGTGTATTGTTGTATTGTATCTTATTTGCTTGTTGCGCTTGTAGTTTGGTTTTGTTTTGTTTTTGTTATGGACTCTCATTTCAATAAAAACTCGCATTTGCATCCCGCCTCCATGCCTCAAACGTTACAATGGTAAACAATTTTAAAAACAACAAATATATTGTAAAGATAATTACGGTCTCTCTCAGTGATGGACACACTAAAACTGTATTATATATTACAGTACTTTATTGCAAAGTTCAACTTTACAGTAAATTACCGGCAGCTGTGGTTGCCAGGATTCCACTGCAAAAAATGGTACAACACATAAGGGGTTACAGTTAGTTGGCATAAACTTTGCAGTCAACTACTGTTTATGATAAACTACAAAGAAAATAACAAATAAAGTCCATTGTAAACAAAGGTATAGACTACCACAGATAAATATTAAGAAACTGTTTACAGATTTTCTGTGAAAAACAAATTGAACTGATCTAATAACTTGTCCAGCACACTCACAAATTAGTGTTGAGATCTTGAAAAAAACAGCATGTGTCCATATATAGGATAATCCACGGTGGAATGAATAAACCTCATGGACAAAAAACAGCCACTTGCCCTGGTTGATCAAGAGTAATGAGTCACCGAGTCCAGACTTGACTGAAGAGGGTGTTCAACATGGGATAGACTCTCACATGGACATGATGCTCAAGAAACTGGAACTTGAGGACTCACATGTTGCCCATCAGGTGTTTGTTCACTGTGGGCTGGCACCATCCTCTCTGCACCGTAAAACAGAAAAAAAGCAGTTAGATTGATGTAGTTCTTGAGCATGATGCCTACACGGAGATAAACTGACAGTTAACTGTTGACTGTTGTTAAGCTGAGCTCCCATGATGTATAGGAGAAACCAGGAACCATATTGCAGAAACTTCTTACCTCTGAAATCTTTTTAGGTCACCATGACAACTTCAGTTAGGACTGAAATTAGGACAAACCCCAACAGGGTCCTCACTTCTGTTTAAGGTCCGTTTCTATGGTTTTTAGGCAGCTGTGTCAGCAGCATAGTTCACTACCAGCATAATGAGCTCCATTTATTTCTACTGTAAAACGCTGCTTTCACTGTGAGATGATTTTCTTTTCTAACTCTGCGTTTTAAAGATCTCAGACACTGCAGACTCGATCTCCACCGCCCCTCTGATCACCTTCGTGTGTTAATGTTGATGATGAAATATTACAGTGATGGTGGTGAATAATAAGAAATAATGAGGGGGGCTCTCACAATATTCTTAACTTAGCCCACAAGTTTTGTTTGACCTTTTTACATCATGGTCGGTTGCTAGGTAACTGTCAACTTCAACTGAGTAGGTTAAGATTTCCTACATTGAGATAAGATGTTGCAAGATAAGATAAAGAGCCTAAATTAATATAAAATTTGCTTCTGTAATACGAATGTGAAAAATCTTAACCCTCAAATCTAAAAGATAGCGAGTTTCTGTAATATGGCACAGCATTCTAGAATATAGTTTATAGTCGACAGAGTATCAGGGCAAAAGGTAGAAACAGATGTCATTTCACTTTTGAGCCTATTCACAGCCCAACCTCCGCTACTCACGTTGTCTTTCCTTTTCCTCCATATCTACCTCCTTTTATTTATTTATTTTTTTTAAGGTGAACACTAGGGATAGGTATCGAGAGCTGGTATTAAACTGCTACCTGTTCCAGACTGGTCAGTAAGGGTAAGACATTCAAAAGTGTGGGCTCACGAAATTTAATGATAATGCAGCTAAATGCAATACATTGTGTTATTTAGGTTCTGTCTGAAACTTAGTGGAGTCAAGGGTCTGGTCCAAAACTGAAGCTTTTTATTTCAACTCTGCAAATCAGCATTTACAGCCAGGGAAACAAACAGCCTAAAGGCTAGAAACAAAAGCACCTGCATTTTTTTTTTTTTCCTTTTCCCAAACGCCACTACCCCACCTGTATTCAGGATCTTCAACCTAAAAGGCCCGGTGAAAGTGAAACTAAAGCAGCCAAAATTAAAAATTTCTTTTCCAAATGAACTGCTGACTAAGTGTATTGCTTATGGTTGTTACTATTTTCAATTGCTTTTTCAAATTTTTTTCAAGCTGGTAGAACACATATACATATTGTTATTGCAGCATCCAAGGTTCCATTTCAGCTTGGGCCCTTTTCTGCATATCATCCCCTCTCTCCACTGTGTTTCCTGTCTATTAATACTGCATCTGTCCAATAAAGCAGAAATGCCAAACAAATCATCTTTGAAAGTTAAAATCAAAAACAGCTTGCTTTTGATATTTAAATGTATTAGAATCTCACCGTTTTCCTAGGTGCCACAAAGGCCAGCAAGTTGTTACTTCCAGGTCTATAACTGCTCACAGGAGTATGAAAGCAATGCATGAAAGGTGGCAAGAGTGAAAGACTTACATTTTTACACTTGTAATAAACAGAATTTATACAAGAGCGGTGTGTATAGATAATTAAGACATTTTACTCTTAAAATGTTAAAACATTTGTTAGACATGTGCTCAGTTTACTTACCTTAGAGGAGATTATTAGATTATTAGATCTTAGCAATGCCAGCAGCCTTCAACCTACTCTGGAGTGTCACAAAAGAACTGAAACAAAGGCTCAAGTGGTCTTAAGCTCTGCAAACTCCCTGCATGGGTCACAGACAATTTCAAATCAAAAAAAGTGACCAAATCTTCTGAAAAGTTGCTTCTGGCAAAAGAAAAAGAAAAAGCCAAAATTGGAAAGCTCCCTGTATGTATTGTAAAATCTTGAACTAAATTACTGTTTGCCATTTTCAGAATTATATAATGAAAGTCAGTCTTCCCCTTTAAAATGTTTAAGCTAACTGAAACAGCCTCCGACAAAAATGACAAACATAATTGCTGTTGCTTTGAACTGTTCAAGTAATCATCAGGCATTAGTAATTCCACCAAAATGTACAATAAGCCAGTTCACATAAATTTAAAAGAACTAAACACTGCTTATTAAAACACTAAAGCTAGCTGAAAACATCAAAGAACACTATTCTGAATGTCAACAATTAACAGTGCATACTGTTCCATACAGCTAGTACTGTATAAGAGTTCAGTTGGATAAATCCATCCTGAACATGTCCCTCTCCACTTGTGATCAGAGAGATCTGCGATGAGGGTGAGGACTCTTGGGTTTACTGACAGTTGTTTCTTGTTTTTCCTTGTTTCAATTTTTGTGCCCCTCTCTGGATTGATGTTGAAGAAACACCTTTGCGAACACAAGAACTCATAACCAACCACAATATACGGTGATTTGTTCTGAAGAGGAGATTTAACTCATATGTGTGTGTGTGTATATATATATATATATATATATATATATGTACACGTACACACACACATATACCTCTGAAGGAACTCAAGTGTGGAGCCCAAATACACGGGATAGTGGATATTGAGGCAGTAATAGCTTCCAAACATCAAACAGATATCAGAAATGAAGGTGGAGGTTTGGTCATTGTGGTCTAGACTCAGCATGAACTGCTTTGAGGTATAGCAGGAGGTTCCTGCAAAGAAGATACAGGTAGACAATAATTAACAGCACATCAGCAATTACCATCCAAAAGTGGTCTTAAAAGATGCTACTTGTGTTTCTTCCCCATCCAGTGGTATTTTCTCCTCTATATGAGTGTAGTTTGACCTGTCAGCTGTCCTTTCCTGTGGTGAGAACAAGTGCTTCACCAGGACTGCTGTTCCCCAAAATGAATGAAGTGGAACTGGACCTGCGAACACCACTGTGAGCTGAAAAATGTTTTGAAGAAAGCATGACAACACATTTATTGTGCATTCTGTTCTTGTTGTGCATCCTTCAAACCATTTTAGCAGCTTAAAATGGTGTTTGCAGGTCGAGATCCATTTCATTCACTTCAGAGATGAAACAGTCCCGATGAAGCATTTGTTCCCACAAAGAAGGAGCTGACAGGTCAAACTTGGAAGATCTATTATACTTGTATGGAGAAAAAAATAGGGGGAAGAAACACAACTAGCATTTTTAAGCATGATGATGCGTTTGATTAAATATTTCCTTACATTAGCTTAGGCTCCTTCAGTAAAACTGAATATTAACTTGGCACATACAATGATGCATGGAGTCACAGGCAAGCTTTCCACTTGTACTTCTGTTGCCAGACATGTTTCATCTACATAGTGTAAGAGGTTCTCCTCTTTTTCCTCGAAATAGGAGAAATGAAGGAGCACCACATCCTTGACATCTTCTGGGCAACACTCCAACTGTCATCTCAGAATTTTCAGCTTTGTGACAGCCTGCAAAACTCTTTTGTTCTTGTTCGCACAAACGGTTCTCATGAAGTCCAGAAGCCGTTTTCCCTTTTTTTCCCACACTTGTTAGTAAAGTCTCTTTTAGTGATACTCCAGTGAGCTCTTGGAAGTGAACCACCATGCCAATCTCTCGGAACAAAAAAGGCCAATTCTCCATGAAGCACTGCAGATCTGTACCCTTATTCATCTCTTTACGTTGGGAGTAGTAGGTGCACTTCATAAGGGTTTTTACCTCATCTGAGCTGAAGTTAGTTTGTTCACTGAGGACCTTCATTTTGTCTTCTTTCTCCTGTTGGCTTTCTGGTGTCTCACTCACTGGCATTAAGTTCATGTCCCAACTTATGCAGCCATCAGTGTCTCCACCCCCAACGATTGTAGTGTCTCCTCTACTATATTTAGAATTGAGGCTGGGAGGTCTGGTAACACCTCAGTAATGGCACTGCTTATGTTGATTTGCTCTGGATCATCCATTTCTGACTATGAAAGTGTGAATAAATCTCATTTAACACCAGAACAACAGCCCAAGACATTCATTAGTGTGACAACACACTGTGTTTCAAAGGAACCACTTGGTATCCATCCTTCATGTAAGATGGCAATGGATAGAAATCAGTCAAGTCATTGATGTTTAGACACTACATCTTTTCACTGGCTTTCTTAACTGAGTACAGATGGTACTGAGGAAGGAATTCTGCTATGTATACACGGACACCAGAAAATGGACAATGTCATTTTTTTATCAAAATAAGCACTAGTTCACCAAACTCCATGGAATCAGTGTTCCCTGTGACAAGGAATTGTCCTTTCTTGTATGATGTTCCCTTATACAGAATTTCTACTGTGACCTTTGTCTTGGTCTCAGTGAGGCCAAATTGTCTGACTGCATCTTGAATGGATTTACTGTATAATACTGAGTAAAATGGAGAAGGACCTTTAACTTGCAAGACAGTCTGACCCACTGATCCAGCAGAAAGATAAGCCTGCAACATCTGATGTCTTTCAGAGAGAGTATGGCAGAGGTTTTTGAAATTCTTCAAATTCCTCGTACATCTCTTGAAATAACTGTGCTTACTTTCAAATCGCATTGTCCACAGCCTGATCAAGAGGCCACACTTCAGAATCAGTGCTGGGTAATTATGTAAATAATGATGCTTTGGTTTGAGGTTACTCTCTGGGAATAGAGCCTTTCTTGACTCTAAATATTCTTGAATAAGAACATCAAGATATGCAACCTGAGGCACAGAGATTTTCTGAGCACATATCATGTCCACAATGTCTTTCAGCTGCAGAGTCAACTGCCACACATCATCTGCTGTATCTTTCCCTCTGTCATCAATTATGAGAGGCAGCAGCCTTAGAAAATTCCAATTCTGCATGGCCTGTCATTAGAGATGTCATTAGACAAGGTGGCAAACCTGGCTGACACACATTAAAGTATTTCAAAAAACTGAATACTGACTTGAATTTTATGCCTTCCACATCAGGAGGCGATCAACAGCAGAATTGTAGCTCTCAATGGTGCGCTCCGGTCCGCACAGATTTAGGTCATCACCCTGAAATTCAGATCGTGTTATCAGGCAGTACCTACAGAAATGTTTTGAGCAACTGAAATTTTCAGAGAAGCCACCAATGCAATGCGAGTCCAAATTTTCTCCAGCAATGTAATATATGGTTCCTTTGACTGCTGTTTCATCTGTTAGTACAATCCCTTTCTCCTCCAATTCCTTCAAGTCTGCTATTAATTCAGAACACCTTAGCATGCCCAAATTCTTTGAAATCTTTCTCTCTGCACAATAAAACAAGTGACATGTGGTCTGTGTCAGACCATACATGAAGTGGCACATTAGCAACAGACACATAAGCAGCTAATATTTTATGTCTTGTTCTTGCAGAGCCTAAAGGGTTAACGACCTCAAAGCCATCCTGGTATAGTACTAGCTTCAAATACGATGGATGTTGACCAAAAAAAATCGTTGGATCTTAATATCTGACCATCACTAATGTCACATCTGAAGGAGACTCAGTTGAGTGCTCCCCTGACACACAACTCCGCCACAGATCAGATTCTAACAAGCATTTCAAAGTCTCTCTCACAGGCACATAATAGGCAGACAGATCTGTGCTGTTCTCATCTCTTCCTAAACATATTTTCTTAGGTTCCACATAGTTGAACATTTTTTTGTAAGACTGAGCTCTTGAGAATGCTGTCCTCACTGGCCCTGCGTGACATGTAGAGAACAGATCAAATCCCCGGACAGACTCACAAACTTTGGTGACGTCCTCATCTGATAATGATGTCATTTTTTAGCAGCGAAGTAAGTTTACTCAAAGTATATGTCTGACCCAGGTCATGTATGTTTTGCATCTCCTCCGCGATGTTCTGTATGGTCGAAGCAGGTAGAAGAAACTGCCCCTGCAATTTTAAGTAGAATAAGCCGACGTTTCGAAGAAAAAGATCGCTGATTTTTTTCTGACACATCCATTTGACTCTCATCTTGTACCTGCCTCACACACACGAGGGTCAAAGTCTACTGATTCAGTTGGAACACGTGATGACTGAGAAGCAGATTCTCTGTATAAATCACTAACGCTGCTCTCTGCGCTTCTGTGACATGTGGGCGGTAAACTAACGGCACGACCTTCAACAACACGCTCCCTCAACTGCGCTATTAGAGCTTCAGTGTCTCTACACTGGCGCTCTCACAGCGCCGATCCGCATTTAAAATCGGTAACAGCCGCCCCGACAGGAACGTTAACAGAAGCAGATACGCCTCCGGTAAAAATGAGCCTTAAACGCTCCAAATCTACAAAACGTCTGTTTACAGGCGGCTCCGAAACACTTAAACAACGCGGTTCATTTCGATGAAATTTGCAACGAAGCACAGAACCTAAACATTTCTTTAGCCAACCTTGGGTAAAGTTAGCGAGCTAACGTTAAGTTAACTTACCGTTCAATAGCGAGATAACTTAGTTATTTCAAGGACAACACAAAACTGCAAACAAGGCCGTGTTAACATCAACGCTAACCCCAGCCAGCTGGGTAACGTTAGGTCAATTACTAAACCTGACCCAGCTAACGCTAGCAAACTTAACGTAATATTAACGTAGTTATTACAAACCCAAACGACCCTTCGAGAAAGCTTTTACTCTCAGACTGGAATAATTTATGTTGACGTGCTGACCTGAAGGACGCATTCCTCTAAGCCCAGCAGACAGGACGCTGTGCCATCAGCGCTGCCCGCGTAATCCTCACGGACCAGCACAGCTAGGCGCGCTGAAACGGCGGCAATCGCTCGGTGATGGGGTCACAAGTTCGCTCTCCGTTAGGCTTGCACAGGAGCCTCTCTCCTCCCTCTCCGTCTAAATTAGGAAGTTACCATGGACTCTGAGGTAGTTTAAAAACAAAGCATAATCGTTTGTGAGCAGCTGGTGAGCAAATATTTCTTAAAGCCACTTACAGCAGTGTTTTACAGGCTGTATCATAGGCTGAAGAATCTAATGTTAACCCACGCTTTGGAGTTTTTGTTCTGTAGAGAAAAAAAAAAAAGAAAGAAACATGGTATTATTAATTATAATGCACATAATTGTTATCATTTTCGTTTAAACTGTGCGTATTTTAATTATGTTGGAGAGCCACATTTTATTGTGTGTAATTGAAATAAATAAGAAAAAAATAGTATGGAAAATTAAATCACTATGTTGTTACAAAATGACAATATAAAAGACAATATCTATGTTCTTATTACATCAGTAAAGTTATGCCTCATTAGTTATGTTAATTAGGGTAATTGCTGCAATCATCTAATGTCCTATGTGTTCTTATAACAACAACCTGGTAGATCCTAGCAACCAACAAAAAACATCCCAGCAACTCCCTAGCAACCAACTAGTATACCTAGCAACCACCTATAAACACTATAGCAACCACCAAGAACACCCTAGCAACTATCTATTATCACCCAAGCAACTGCCTATTATCACCCAAGCAAACACCCAAAACACCCTAGCAACCACCTACAGTGACCCCAGTAACCACTCAGTACATTCTATCATGTAGAAACACCCTGACAACGACCACATACATCTTAGCAACCGCTAAGTACACTGTACCGATACCCTAGCAACACCCAGTATTCTATAGCAGCCACCAAGCACTCTAGCAGCCTAACAATCGCCTAGAAAAACCAGCCACCATAAACCATAAACACCCTATCACCCATGTAGAACATTCCAGCAGTCACCTAGAAACACCCTAACAACATCTCTAACCACAACAACAGCCATCTTGCACTCTCTAACAACCACCTAGTACTCCTTGGCAACCAAATACTTCACCTTAGCAACAACCTAGATACACAACAGCAGCCATCTTAGTTGTCACATCTTAGTTTATAGCCTGGAACAGCCTTGCAGCCACCTACAAAGACCTTAGCAACTGGCTACCCAGATAGCAAGCATATATTGGTCTGCTGGTTTGATAAGACACCCCGCTGACTGTTTGCCACTGCTGTTCCACCCTCAGACCACCCAGATTTTTGTCCTGCATAAAAACTCTACCTACATTTTAATCTCCCCAAACAGGTTTTAAATGGACAGAGCCTTTTATTTTAGAAAAAAAGAAACTAATATGACAAACAACTAAGAGAAAAATAATGACGAGGCCTGATATAAAATGATTTTATAGAAAATGTTGCTGCTGACTCTGTGCTAAATTAAAATTATTTACTAAACTAATTTGGCGGCTCGGTGGCGCAGTGGGTAGCGCTGTCGCCTCACAGCAAGAATGGCCTGGGTTCAATTCCCGGCCGGGTGACCAGGGTCCTTTCTGTGTGGAGTTTGCCTGTTCTCCCCGTGTCTGCGTGGGTTTCCTCCCACAGTCCAAAAACATGCAGTCAGGCTGATTGGACACACTAAATTGCCCCTAGGTGTGAGTGTGTGTGACTGTGTATGTCTGCCCTGCGATAGACTGGCGACCTGTCCAGGGTGTATCCTGCCTTCCGCCCAATGACAGCTGGGATAGGCTCCAGCACCCCACCGCGACCCAGAAGGATAAGCGGTTTAGATGATGGATGGATACTAAACTAATTTACAAAGTAAAATAGGAAAAAAATAAGTAAAAAGGACTGTGAGTGGAAAATGAGTGGAACTTTTTCTATTACTCTGCTTAAACACCAGTGGGCCACTCAGAGAACACTGAACAAAACGCCAGTGGACCACCAGCTTTGCCATCAGCGGGCCAACAGTAGTCCTCTATCCTCTTGCTATCAGGGTAGTACACCCTAGCAACCACCTACACCTTAGCAACCACATGGTACACGCTAGCAGCCACCTAGTTCATCTTATCAAACACAACATCCCAGCAGCCACCTTGTGCATCTTCGTAACCAACTAAAACACCTTACCAATCACCTAGACCAACAATAGCAAACACCTACAATCACCTTAGCAACCATCTAAAAACACCCTTACAACCAACTAGTAAACCCTGGCCACCACCAAAGATTGCTAGCATTGGTGCACAGCAATCAGTTGAATTTCTTAAAGAAATACATCTTTCTGGAAATGTTTTTGTTTTCATTGCACATAACACATTAACTGTCAGATTGAACCCATATTTACAAGGATATCGCCTAAAGTTACATATACGTATATTTTACGTTTACCATATTTATGTTTTACCATGAAATAAACATTATTTAACAAACGTACTAAATTTTTAACATCTTGTTTCTATAGAAATGAAGGTATAATTTTGCTGAATGGTGGAAGGCTTTAGACTGTAAATTTAAATGTACACATCAGCAAAATCCGTAGTTTATACAAAGTAATACTGTTAATTTTAGGGTAATTACTTGCTAGTGGCTTTATGGTATTTTCCCATTAATTTTACCAAAAAATTTATATTTTCACAGTAAAATTGTGCATTTTCTACATATTATGACAGGAAAAATTAAAGTAATGTAGTGCTTCTTGATTTAGGGTAAGCCATTATATCCAGTACAGTGAGATACTATTTTGCATTTCATGGTCTTTTACTGTTGCCAATTCATAGTTTTTTTTTATTGTAATATCTACGGACATTTTTTACAGTGTACCATAAAAATGAATTGAATGAATGGAAACTAACTGGACCAATCATTTTTATGTACGATGCACACCTTTTTCATTTTAAATTATTTTAAACAAAAAGAGCAAAAGCAACACAAGCCAGGCTGACAGATTTAAGCTACAGCCAAACTGCAAAAATGGTAACTTGTAAAATGTACTTTGTGGTAACAAGCAAATTAAAGTTTTATTTAAATCAAATGCTTTGAGTAAAATGCTGGTTCATTCAAATGATTTAGTTTAATTACTTGTTACCACATGAAGTAATGTTCTAGGTTGAACTGACATTTTAACAGTGCAGTGTAGGGACACTTTCAGGAACAGAGCACACATTAACTCACTTTTACAGCCAGAGGTGCTAGATAATTAACCAAAGAACAAGAGGGAAACACATACATCAGGGAAGCTTGACCAGGCGGTAAACAGAACAGGGGAACAACATGTATAATATGCGAATAGATGGTGCCAGAAGACAACGGGAGATACAAGAGTTTTACACAACGAACTTTCACTGACCAAACAAACACAAGTGAATCAAATAAGTCACAGTAGCTCACTGTGTTTTTTGCCTCTGTGGTCTTTCTGTTCCTCACTGTATCATGTTTCCATGATCGTGGCACTGAAAACACACAAACTGTAAAAATGGCTCCTCAGATCAGCCTAAAAGATTGATGTGGTATGAATGATTCTTTACATCAGTGTGATTTTTTTGAGTTGAATAAAAATAGTTCATGTTACTACATGGGGTCATTTTCCTAACTCAGTGCTGGGTCAATACTGGACAAACACAGCCCTGGGTAGATATGACCCAACATCTTGGGTTATTAGTCTTAGCTCTTTGGGTCAAGCAATTAACCCAACAGCTGTGCACTTTTTACTGTATTGCTGGGTTAAATGAACCAAAGGCTGGGTTGTTTTCTTTTTTCCATTCTATTCCACTGATCAATTCAAATAACTAATTCATTTTTACAGTAGTCATCTTACAGTAAGAAATCTGAGTGAGTCTGTTGATGTGGGTTGTTTGTGGAGATCATGATCATCATGATGATGATTCAGAGGTGTAGTGACCGGCCCACTGACCGATACACCAGCACTACTGGCTGTTCAGCAGCCTGATGGCTTGGGCCGTCATATGGCTGATCAGGCGATTCTGTTATTCCCAGCTGTTGCTAGAAAACATGGCAGAAGACAGCAAATATCAAAGGACTGACAAAGAAATTAAAATGAACTTCTATGAAAACACAGTGATTTTAGATGCTAAACAGATTTAAGGTGCCTGCAGCTGATCTTAAGTCATTTTATTACATCAGTGCATTTTATCTTTGTGAAATGCAGTCATAACATTAAACATAACGGCGAAAAGAAGTTGCTGAATGTCAAACATTTCTCTGTAAACTCGCTCCATGTTTCTCTGATGTTCATCATAAAGACAAGGCTTTAAAAAGTGTGTGTGTGTGTTCACTGTAGAAAGAGACACAGAGAATGAGTGTGAGCTACTTACACTGAAGAAGAGTTTGATGCAATCTTACATTGAAAACGAGGGGAGGGACATTTCCTCAGAGAAAAATCTGAGCTTCCTGTGAAAAACAAAGGGTTTTTTTTTTTGTTCATTAAAAAAAATGTGTAATATTTATTTATTTATTTATTTATTTATTTATTTATTTATTTATTTATTTATTTCTGATCAGAGAAGCGAAAACACTGCAGAAAGACCATCCCAGCTGTTTTGGGCTGAGGGCGATTTGTCATCGATGGAGCTTGGATGCCATCGTGTGGTCAAAATGTAAACCTGCAAGTTTCAGATAGTTCCCTGTGTGGAAACATTGTGTAGCTGAGTGACTTCTTGAATTGCTGTGTTTGTGAGGCTGAGTGAATAAAATGGGAAATAGAATGTTAATAATTTTAGCGTAGTTACAACAACCAAACCACATCATTTCATACAGTAGTTCAGCCTTTACAGTAAGCAGTCTGATGGTCTTTCTCAGACTTGCCTGTTCACGGTTTGACCACAGGATGGCGCCCAAGACTCATCAGTGACACGTGAATGAGAGCTGTAGCACTTATTTCCTGCATAAACTCCCTCATACATAGTAATATATTGTATATAACACACACACACACACACACACTCACACACACACTCACACACACAGAGACGTTTTTTGTTTTCTACTTTGGACAATTTTTGACATTTCGACTTCAAATGAAATGCGGTTTAGAAGGCTGTAAAGTGCAACTACTAAAAAAATGTATTGATAATAGTCATAATTATAGTAATACAAGTGATATTTATTTTATGGCTGTATTTGCTCTGTGTATCTTTGATTCCATCGTATTGCTGTTTTCTCTGTAGTGTCCGTTGTGTGTCGTGACTCCGCCTCCCGTGTCTTGGCTTCAACTAGGTCCTGTAGAGGAGCATAACAGGCGCGGACGGCGCTCTACCCTGTCACTGATTGTATTCTCGTTACGTGGGAAACAAAGTAGGCAGAATGTCCGGTAGAGGAAAAGGAGGAAATTGATTCCTTTCTCCTTCACTTGAAAAGAAAGTAAGGTAGGATGTCCGGTAGAGGAAAGGGGGAAATTGAAGTTTAAAGAAGAGAATTAGTGTGGTCCTTTTGACCGCAGCACCTCGCGGTGTCTGCGGTCCCTGTTTCCTACTCTTACATTTTGGATTTTCTTCCGGTTTGTGGACTTTTAAGGCACAAAGTTTCGTCTTATTACGCTGAAGGTCTCGACGCGGCAATGGCGTCTCGTGGAGCCTTCAGCGATCGCTTCATCAAATATTGGGTTAAGTTGAAATATATCGGACTTGGAGAACCACCAGACCGTAACTATGTTGGTGAACTCCTTTTTCAGTCCCAGTGGATCACCTTACAGGACATTTATTCTTTCATAAGTCTACCGAATCGAAAAGAGTTTGAAATTTGTTTCAACACAGAAAAAGCTTTACATGTGTTCCTTGAGCTGTACTCTTCCAACCAACATGCTTGGAAGGATTTTGAAGTATTTTCCCCTGCAAACCTGGATGTTAAGACACTTGTTATCAAGTTCTGGACTGGACGCATTTCTGATTATGATGTTGAACTGTACCTAAAACGATTCTGTGATGTCTTAAAGCCCGCAGTTAAACCTGTGGATAATTTTGGAATGTGGTATGGGATTAGGAAATATCAAGTAAAACTCCGCAAAGATGCTGAAGGCAAGATGATGCCCATCCCAAATTCTGTTTCCTTTGGCCCTTACAACGGCAAAATTAGCTATCAAGGTCAAGCCTCCTCATGTTATGTGTGCCAGTCTACAGGACACCAGGCTAAAGAATGTCTGGAAACGAAATGCTGGAAGTGTGGAGGATTTGGCCATAAGGCTATGGAATGTGGAAACACTGCCACCTGCACTTTGTGTGGAGACGTGGGGCACATTTTCTTCACATGCCCTAAATCCTACGCCAATAAATCCAAGCAAAAGCCGAGTGTTCCAAGACATGACAACTTACAGTGTGCGGAAACTGGTGCAGCAACAGAATTGTCAGTGGATGCTACAGTCCAGATGCTGAGTGGTCAAGCTCAAGGTGCAGTTACAATTTCTGCCAAGGACGTAGAGAAAGGAAAGGAAGCTTCCAAACATGCCCAAGGAAAAAAATCTAAAGAGGAAGCAGCCCAAATGGAGACTTCAGAAGCGGATGACGAATCAAGCCCGGATGAGAGCTCGGACAGCGACTCGTCAAGTGACTCATCAGAGAGTGGAGATTTTAGTGAGTCTTCGGAGGAAGAAAAGAAGGAACCGTCACAAAAAGGAAAGAAAGCACCGGACGAGTACACAGAGGATCAACAAATGGATATTGAAAAGACAACTGGAAAGGATCCAGAAGTTCTGAAAGCTGAAAATGAGAAACGGAAGCTGAACTCCTCGACTGAGACTGAAGGTAATGCTGTAAAGAAGAAGAAAAAAAATCAGAAAAAAAGTTGAGAACTGATGTATCATGCATGCCTTTTTATAATTTACTTGTTGCTTCTTGCAATGTTCGTGGTATTCAATCTGCCTTAAATAGATCTAAAAAAATTAATATATTGTTAAGAGAGAAATTAGACATATTGTGTATTCAGGAAACAAGGTTGTCTACTTTTAAAGATGTTGCTGAAGTACAAAAGTTATGGGTGAAGGGTAAGTCCTTTCTTTCAATAGGTGACAGTAGAGCAGATGGAATAGGAATCCTTTTCTTTTCTGAAAATGTTGCCGTTATCCAATTAAGAGAAATTATTCCAGGCAGGTTAATGTTTGTTGATGTGTTTTTATTTGGAAAAAAAATTAGAATAATAAATTTATATACAGCCCAAGATAGAGTTAGAAAAATACAGCTTTTTAATAAAATTAAAACTTTGCTATGTGTAGGATTTTATGTAATTGTCTGTGGTGATTTTAATACAGTTACAGATGAGAGAGACAGAATAGCAGAAAGGTCAAGTAAAATCGGTAGAGAAGGTAATGTTTTGAAACAAATAATGAACGAATACAATATGCAGGATACATTTAGAATGGTTTATCCTGATCGTATAGACTTTACAAGGTTTGATAGAACATGTAAAACTAGAATAGATAGAATTTATGTTAATAAAAAATTTACTGTAATTTCATATAAAACTAAAATGCTTATAGATTCTGATCATTTGACAGTTACATCTACAATAAATTTTTTAAATGATAAAAGTGTCAACTATTGGAAATTGAATACAAAAATCTTAAAATATCCCAATATTTTGTTGGAATTAAAAGATGAGCTTGCAAGAATTAGATCTCTAAATATTCTGACCAAAGATAAGTATGAAGTATGGGAAATTTTAAAAACACGTGTTAAAAATTATTTTAAATATAAAAGCAAATTAATTAATCAGGAAAAAAACGTGAGATATAACCATATAATGGAGCAATATATTAACTTGAAATTAAAACCATGCATAACTGCAGTTGAAGAAAATAGTTTACGTGAATTAAAGGATGAAATTGATGTTATGAATAATGAACATTTACAGAAATTGCAGATTAAACTTGGTGTTCATCTTGATGAAACTTTGAATCCATCTCAAATATCTCATCTGTTTTCAAAACAAAAGCAAAGATCTTGTGTTACTAGCATCAGAGATAAAAGTGGTATTATTATTACCGAATCAGGAAAAGTTAGACATACAATAAAAGAGCTTTGTGAGGAAATGTATCAAGAAATAGAAATAGATGTTAACATGTTAAAGTCCTTTTTGAACTTTAAATATAATTATTATTTTGATCATTTGGGAGATGAGGTAATAGAAAGTGAAGTAGTGTCTGCCATTAAACAGCTAAACACTGGGAAATCTCCTGGGAAAGATGGCTTGCCCTCGGAATTTTATCAAATGTGTATTTTTGACTTATCTAACTTACTTACACGGGTGTTTAATGAGGGTATTGGAAAAGGTTATATGTATGACACGTTTTATGATGGGGTGTTATCATTATTGTATAAAAAGGGTGATGCCAGTGATATTAACAACTGGAGACACCTTACTTTGATGAATGTTGATTACAAGATCTTTGCAAAAGTAATAATGAATAGATTAAATGATATTTTGGATTTAATCATAGCTAAAGAGCAAACATGTGCTATTAAAGGGAGAGCTATGTGGGATAATTTGAACACTTTAAGAGAACTGGTATATGAGAGTGGTGAAAGTTTTTATATTGTTACTCTTGATCAGAAAAAAGCTTTTGATTATGTCTCTAGAACTTATTTATGGGAAGTGTTTAGAATGTATAATTTTCCTGATAATTTTATTAAAATGATCATGTGTTTATATGCTAAAAGCAATATACAGATTAATGTGAATGGCAATTTGACAGATTCCTTTGAAGTTATGAGGGGTGTAAAGCAAGGTTGCCCTCTTAGTGCAGCTCTTTATGTATTGGCTATAAGTCCTTTGATCACAAAAGTTAGGAACGATGAGCGTTTAAAAGGAGTAACTGTAGGTGGAAGGAAAGTTGTGATCTCTGCATATGCAGATGACATAACTGTTTTTGTTAAATCTAAAAATGAATTAGATGCAATATTTGAACATTTTAAAATGTATGAACAAGTATCAGGAGCAAGACTAAATGTCTCTAAATCTGAATGTGTTTGGATAGGGAATCCTGAAAATAAGTTTGTGGTTAATATACCAGAAACTCAAAATTTAAAGGTTTTAGGAATTTGTATAAACAATAAAGATTGTGTCGAGAATAATTGGAATGGAAAAGTAGAAGTTATAAAAGAAGAAGTGAGTAAATGGAAAAATTGTGATTTAAGCTATAAAACTAGAATAAATATAGTTAAGACTTATATTTTATCAAAAATTTTATTTTTATCTTGCATATTTCCACCTACAGATAAATGGCTCAAAATTGTGAATAAATTATGTTGTAATTTTATATGGGATTCCACTAGAGAAGTAACAAAACGAAACTTGCTATATAAGAGGAAAGATTTGGGGGGATTAGGAGCCATAGATATCGCCATTAAAACCAAAATCTCTGTGTGTAAAATCATTGCAAATGGTATAAATAGACAAGCAGATTGGATTGGAAATATTACCAATTGGAAGCAAAAAAAGGGTCGTGCTAGAACATCAGTACCCTATTATAAGTTGTTATATGGTGATTTTATAAACAAATACAAACATTTAGATATCGATTGGATTAATGATTCAAATAAAAAGATATATGGGTTAATAACTGATGAAGAGTACGGCTCAAAGGTAGAATTTAGAAATCTTGTAGGAGAAGAAAATGACAGGTGTATTAAAAATCTTCTGTGTAAAAAACTTTCTGACAAACAGGGAGATCTCTCATGGCTGATGGCCGTAAGAAGGCTGCCAGTGAGAGCTGTAGTAAGATGGAGTTGCTTTGTGAAAACCACTTTATGCCCCATGCCAAATTGCCAAGAAGAAGAGACTTTAGACCATTTTTTATTCAACTGTTATCGCTCTCAAGAAGTGTGGGAGATGGTTAAGGATATGGGTTTAGAAATAAATATACATATGAAATCTATAATATATGGGATTTTTGATGAAAAAGTAGATAACAGGAAACATGAGTTCTTGTGGTTTATCATCGCTATTGTAAAGTCTAAACTTTGGAAAACAAGATGTCGGATGACCATAGACCAACAATTCGTGTCCAGCAGAGACGTTTTTAAACAAATTAAAATTGAACTAAAGAGACTGCGGACGTTGAACACGCCATTCAAAGACGTTGACTTGTGGGACATTTTTGAATTGTAGGTGTTAAGGTATGTGTATATATATGCTGTCTTTCTTATGCTCTGTCTGTTTTATATGTTGAATTGTTGCTAACCAAATAAAGTTTCAAAAAAAAAAAGAAAAGGTGGAAAAGGTCTCGGGAAAGGAGGCGCTAAGCGTCACCGCAAAGTGCTCCGCGATAACATCCAGGGTATCACGAAGCCGGCTATCCGCCGTTTGGCTCGCCGTGGCGGTGTCAAGCGTATCTCGGGTCTGATCTACGAGGAGACCCGCGGCGTGCTCAAGGTGTTCCTGGAGAACGTGATCAGGGACGCCGTCACCTACACCGAGCACGCCAAGAGGAAGACCGTCACCGCCATGGATGTGGTTTACGCCCTGAAGCGTCAGGGACGAACCCTGTACGGCTTCGGAGGTTAAGCGCTCGACTCGAACAACGATAAACACAACGGCTCTTCTAAGAGCCCCCCACGTTTCCGCTTAAAGAGCTTTTCTTTATGACCCGATACAGACTTTTTCATTCTGACTAGCTAGTTATTTTACTTCTTAAAGGCTGACTGAATGACCATAATTTAATGCCGGAATAACTAGACGAGTGGGGGCGAAAGTTTAAACTAACCAGACGCCCCCTCTCCCCCAAAAGTGTTTTAAATATTATAATCATTTTATTCCAGAATCAGGATACTGCTTTATTAGTCCTACAACGGGGGAATTCTCAAGCCACTCAAGAAAAATAAAAATCTTTAAAGCTTTAAAACAGCTTTATTGGCCAGGTACGCTTAACACATACAAGGATTTTGGTTTTGGTTACAGGAGCTCTCAGCGCACAGTTTAAATTATTATTTACACTTCGCAGTTGTGTATAATATAAGAATAAAAATAAAACAAAAAACGAGAATAGAATGTGCATCCTACCATCTCACACACACACACAGTCACATTTTTAAACCTTGCACTGTGCCAAAAATGTGATATATTTCACGCGCGTCCCTGAGTTCTCGAGCCTGTAACTTGCATGTGTGTGTGTGTGTGTTTATGGAATAAACCTGATAGAAACGTATGTATTGTACATGACGCACGGTAGCTAAGAATGCGCGGGAAGGTGAACAAAGGAAGAGTCTTTAGCTGGGGGGAGGAGGAGGAGAAGGAGGGGGAGCTGGGAGTTGTCCGCCAAGTGAGCCGTTCAGAAGGGCGGAGCTATAATTTGAATATCGGAGTCTAGATAAGCCGGTGCCGGGCGCTCCTCCTCATTCTTCAGTTTTATTCGAAGAGAAGAAAATCATGCCTGAACCCGCCAAGTCCGCCCCGAAGAAGGGCTCCAAGAAAGCCGTGACCAAGACGGCTGGTAAGGGAGGCAAGAAGCGCAGAAAGTCCAGGAAGGAGAGCTACGCTATCTACGTGTACAAGGTGCTGAAGCAGGTCCACCCCGACACCGGCATTTCCTCCAAGGCGATGGGCATCATGAACTCGTTCGTCAACGACATCTTCGAGCGCATCGCCGGTGAGTCGTCCCGTTTGGCTCATTACAACAAACGCTCCACCATCACGTCCAGGGAGATCCAGACCGCCGTGCGCCTGCTTCTTCCCGGTGAGCTGGCCAAGCACGCCGTGTCCGAGGGCACCAAGGCCGTCACCAAGTACACCAGCTCCAAGTAAGAAGTGACGGAGACTTCATTAAACCCAACGGCTCTTTTAAGAGCCACCCACGTTTTCGCACAAAGAGCTTTTTGTTTCCGTTGTGTGGGTGAAAACACGATGATTTGCGGAGTTGGGGAGAAAATATTATTTGGGGTTCTGCCGTGCCAGTTGATTTTTCCCGTCCAGTTTCTGTTCGTGTGCTCTTTTGTGCAGGTAGTGTACCAAAAGGGATTAATTAAATGCTTAAATACGTATTTTTATATATAAAAATACTGCTGCTAATTTGTAAGGTTGTAAATAACCTAGACATAGCACCCGCGTACAGAATGTCGAAGAGCAGTGTTTATTATTTATTTTTGGTGTGTGTTCGTAGTGCTGGGTAAATACTGAGCGACAAGCTTTGTAATATGGGCGTGTGAAACGAATCATTCTCAAGCCACTCATCAGCAACAGAACCATCTCCTCAGTCACAGCACTTAAGAGAACTCGGAGTGGGGGACGCTATCTAGGACAGTTGCTCTTTTGGACAGAGAAGTGAGGGGGCTCTTAAAAGAGCCGTTGGGGTGTTTTGGGGGAAACCTGGCAGCGCTCCGTTGAATTTAAGCGCGCTCTCCTCTGATACGGCGGGCCAGCTGGATATCTTTAGGCATGATGGTGACTCTCTTGGCGTGAATGGCGCACAGGTTAGTGTCCTCGAACAGACCCACCAAGTACGCCTCGCTAGCCTCCTGCAGGGCCATGACGGCAGAGCTCTGGAAGCGGAGATCGGTCTTGAAGTCCTGAGCGATCTCCCGCACCAGGCGCTGGAAGGGCAGCTTGCGGATCAGCAGCTCTGTGGATTTCTGGTAACGGCGGATCTCCCTGAGAGCCACGGTGCCGGGCCTGTAACGGTGAGGCTTCTTGACGCCGCCGGTAGCCGGGGCGCTCTTACGAGCAGCCTTGGTAGCCAGCTGCTTCCTCGGAGCTTTGCCACCGGTGGACTTACGGGCGGTCTGTTTAGTTCTTGCCATGATGTCAAACTGCACGCCTCCCTACCAGAGCTATAGAATAAGTTCAGACGCATACCGCGGCGCTTTTAAGCGCTCGAGCTGCTCGCCGCTCATTGGGCGTCTTGAATGTGCCCGCCTCCCATTGGACGACTCCCCACGCGTTGGCTGAACGCTATTGGGCGTCAACATTTCAAATCGCAAGACTCTGCCCCAACGCCTTGGCGGGCTCCTGTCATAAAACTTTAGGGTCCGCCCACCGTTCCTCTCCAAGCCCTCTGCTTCTCTCCCTCCCCTTCGTGTACATATATATATATATATATATATATATATATATATATATATATATATATATATATATATATATATATACGTAATATAGGTGTGTTTTTATTTTCTTGTTTTGCTTCTAAATTACAAAAATACATTTGATAATTAACTTTTTATCTTGTGTGCTGCAGACATAAATAGGTTTTGTTTTATTACTGTATATACTTTTAAATTATTATTTGATAATTAATCCTTCATCTTAATTGTTTTATTATCAATCATGGTTTTGTAATTATGATTATAATAATAAGAGTAATAATAATTACAAAGAAGGAAACAAAGAAATAAAGTCCCTGTTTCCGCGCTTTTTTGACCCCATTTCGGCTCCTATTGTAAATGCAAACGGCACCTCCGTTACAACGTCGAGCCTGGCGCTTTCCAATATCGCTACTTAACAGTAATGACCAGCTTACGGAAAACGTAACTCTGAGAGGAAAATGTGGGTGGCTCTTAAAAGAGCCGTTTTTTCAATAGGAGAAGCAGGACGTGAAGGTCAACGGCACGTTTACTTCTTCTTGGGGGCGGCCTTTTTCGCCGCCTTGGGCTTCGCTGCTTTGGGCTTGACGGCCTTTGTTTTCTTCGGGCTCTTGGCCGCCTTCTTCGGGGCCGCAGGCTTCTTGGCTTTTTTGGGAGACTTGGCGACTTTCTTGGCGGCCGCGGGCTTCTTCGCCGCTACCTTCTTGGCTTTCTTCGGCGATTTCTTGGCGGCCGCGGGCTTCTTTGCCGCTACCTTCTTGGGCTTCTTGGCCGCGGCGGGCTTTTTGGCGGCCACCTTCTTGGGTTTGGACGCTGCTTTCTTCGCCGGCTTCTTCTTGGCCTCGGCTTGCTTCTTGTTGAGCTTGAAAGAGCCTGACGCACCGGTGCCTTTGGTCTGCACCAGAGTGCCCTTCGTCACGAGGCTCTTGACGGCGAGCTTGACGCGGGAGTTGTTCTTGTCCACGTCGTAGCCGCCGGCAGCCAGGGCTTTCTTGAGGGCGGCGAGAGACACGCCGCTCCTCTCCTTAGACTGAGAAACAGCCTTGACGATGAGCTCGCCGACGCTGGGGCCGGCTTTCTTGGGCCGGGCGGCGCTTTTCTTCTTGGGAGCTTTGGCCGGCGCGGCGGCTGGAGCGGGAACGACTTCTGCCATCGTTCTGCTTTTGCTGCGAGCGGAGCGACAATGAGCGCGAACTGCACTGCTCAGAGGAACCTCCCTCTCAGGCGGGGAGCCGGCCCCTTAAAAGGCACATGAGAACGGGGTAGACTCAATCTGGCGGGCGCTGTGCAGTAGTGTCTCAGTGACGCGCTCAGATTTGTGTTTTCTCGTGGCATTTATCGGGCAAAATACGAGCGAAAGCGCCGCTTGGCGAGCGTCCAACGGCTCGCTACTCTAAAACAGGCTCTACTGTGTGTCCCCAGTCTGGGAATGGGCGCGCAGCGACGCCTCGTTTTACAGGACGCTCTTAAAAGAGCGCCGGGCGGTCGCCGCTCCGAACGAGAGACGGAGTATTTGGCGCGATAATCGGTGGAAAACGGCGGCAAACGTCGGCGTGAACCTTCGGAGAGCTCAACGGCGCGTTCGGGGAGAACCTCGGCGAGGGCGCGGGCGAACTTCCAGCGACCGAGCCCCTCGTTGACTATGTGTAAAACGGGCTCTCTTGGAGCGGGTAAAGCACAGGCGTGACATCAGCGGCACGCAGGGCCAGAGCCTGCTCTCTGCTGATGTGCTGTTGTAAAAAAAAACAAAAAAAACAAAAAAAACAATGTAAATGAACTTTGATTTGACCAGTGGGAAGTAGTCCTAAGCTTATATGAAAAACATTATTATATTATTATATTTTACTGTATGGCTCTCTCTGTCACGTGCAGCTCTCTTCCTGTGAGTGTGTGTGAGACCCTCTGTGTAAACGCAAAGTGCAGTGGTGTGTGCCAAGCAGGCCCAATCTAGGAGAGGCACACACTCAGAGAATAACCTGTTTGTTCCATCTGAGAACTAAAATGTCTTTGAAGGAGAAAAGCACATACGCAGAGAGACTTAGTTATAACCATATTGAATAGTAGGAATAAAGTTTAGAGGTCTAGGCCTGATTGTGGCCTTGGCCTATGATTATCTTTGAAAATGTATTTTACTTCTTGGTTTGGAAATAATGGAATAATTATTGATAAAAAATCACTAATGACATTAATAATGTTGTGAAAGGTAATAAAATAACCTATGTTTGGATATAATGGTTTTCAATGTAGTCATGAAAGTTGGAGATAATGATGTGTAACTGAAAAGATTTGAAATATTTGGGATGGGCAAGGAGGCGTCATCACCTTACTCTGACCTCAGTAACAGTCGAGGTCTAGCCCTAAATCTACTTTCACTTTTACTAACTTCACCATGAACCTCAAAAAACTCTACATTTATTATTACTCTAACTACACGTTAAGCCAGAGGAAAGGTTGTAAGACTAATTTGGCCTACTCCAACTACAATATGAACTTAAAGCCTGGTTCTGTACCTGATTTTAATTTTATAGCTTCATCATAAGTCTAATGGAGCGCTATAGATTCACATTTACATTTACAGAATTTAGCAGACGCTCTTATCCAGAGCGACTTACAAGAAGTGCTTTGTCTATCTAGAGAAAGTATCTTTGCGGGTTACCAATAGGTTAGAGAGAAAGCCAGTCCTGAGCTCAGATACTGATAGAAACAAAAAGTCAATGTTGATACCCAGAGAAAAAGGAACAGAGTTGAACACAGAACAGTGCAATATAATACAATACATAAGTGCAGTACAATACATTACAAAGTTCTCAGTTCACTCACTATTACTCAGTACACTCACTCTTACTCCGTCACAAGCCTGAGGCCCTGCCCTAAGATTACTTTAATAACATTTAACTGTAGCCCTATAACATCTTGTTCTCACACTAACTACACTACAAGCTTAGGGCCTCCTTCTTAACCTACCATCACTTACGCTATCTAGACCTAAGGTCTAGCTGGAAATCTCATCTTGCTAACTCTAACTTCTTCAGAAGCCTAAGACCTTGCCTACACTGACTTTTACAAGCTCTTATTTATTCATAAACCTAAGGCTGAGCTCTATAGCAACACTTACTTAAGCTATCTACATTATAAGCCTGAGGCCTCGCTGAAAGCCTACTTTTGCTTGCATTAGCTTCATCATAAGCATAAAGACTAAAAATATAAACAGAGTAAGTAACAGGGCTTATAAAGCTACACCTTAGATGTATGTTTTATCCTTATCTTCTCATGAACCTAAGACCTTGCAATGAAACCACTGTTACTTATTTTATTACAATAAAGGCACAAAACCTAGCTAGATGCCTCCCTTTGCTTACTCTGACTTCATCATAAGCCTAAGGCCTTTCCTTAAACCCATTTTGACGTTCTCCAACTTGACCATAAACCCAAAGTCTAATATTACTTGCTCTAACTACACTCTGAGCCAGAGTACAAATAAAAAGCTTAATTTTGGCTTGCTTAAACTATATCATCAGCCTAAAACTTGCCTCTGTACCTGCTGTCATACCACATCTTCATCATAAGTCCAACTATACATCTCAGTACACTCACTCTTACTCCTTCACAAGCCTGAGGCCCTGCCCTACTTTAACATCATTTAACTGTAGCTCCATAACTACTGCAACTCACTCTAACCTGCTATCATTTACTCTGTCTACATTGTAAGCCTGAGGCCTAGCTTGAAAACTTATTTAGTTCACTCTAACTTTTTCTGAAGACTTCAAGCGTGCTTGTGCTAACTCTGACCTCAGCAACGGTCAAAGGTCTTGCCCTAAATCAAGGCTTTGCTCTACGTTAATCCTATCTTTACGCTACCTTATGTTACGCACTAAGCTAGAGGCTTAGTGATAAAACTATATAAAACTACTTTGTTTACCAGCAGCAATAGCCAAAGGATTAGCTCTTAATCTACCTGTACTCACTGGCACTTTAGCATTAGCCTAAGGCCAACTTTTACTTACTCTGCATCATAAGCCTAATGCCTGGCTCTTCATTACAGACTTAATAAGGCCTAGCATGTAATAGACTTGAACTTATTCTTATTGCATTTTTATTTGTGACATAAACAACAACAACAACAATAATTATAATACAAAGAAGAAAGTTTTGCTCACTCTACCTTCAGCATAATTCTACAGGACATACAATATAACCTTTATTTGTATATTCATTAATTACCCATAATTTTTTATTTTTGATGCAGTTTCATAGTTCTTTCTCTTTGTACCACACACACTGACCCGTTCTTATTCCACCATTCAAAAGCCTTAATACGCATAAACACACACACACACACACACACACACACATATGGAAGAACATTAAAATAACATGTAAGTAACCAACTCTTGTAATACAAACATAAATTTGCACACAATTATTTTTATTCATAAATACATACATGTAAAGAAAATGTAAAGCATGTAAAGAAAGGACAAAAAATAACCAAATTAATTCTATCGACATTTCTTGTATTTTACAGAAGGCCAGTATCAGCAGATTACGTACTGGAACACAGACAGACATTACGTGTGTGTATGTGCGTGTGTGTGTATATATATATATATATATATATATATACATATATATATATATGTACACACTGCCTGGCCAAAAAAAGGTCACACACTCTAATATTGAGTTGGACCGCCTTCAGCTTTGCTTGTGGCACGCATTCACTGTGGCATCGTTTCCACAAGCTTCTGCAATGTCACAACATTTATCTCTGTCCAGAGTTGCTTTAATTTTCCCCCAAGATCTTGTATTGATG